TTGCTAAGGACTTATTTAGTGCATCTAGTAATTGCTCATGTCTTATAAGCTCATTCATGAAAAATCAAATGAATTTGATGTTTATATGGTACAACTATTGCTTCTATGCTTGACTTGATCTAGTGGTAGCATATGACATGTTTGTGGGCTTGTGAACCTAGTGTTTGATCTAGAAAATGAGCTATAAGTGTTTAACTCAACATGGTACAAGATAACCCTTGAAATGAGGTGTGAAGAAGCTTATCCTTGGATCAAACCGAGTTAAATATCTTTGACAAGTGTTCTAGATTGAACCAAATTTAGGAAAACAATCCTCACCTCATTGATTGATATTGATAATCTTAGCTTATCTAAATTTAAACCTTTGTGGTCTTTAATGACAAAGGGGGAGAAGTAATTCACAAAGATAGGGGGAGAGAAATAAAGATAGAGTAAAAAGATGACAAAGCGGGAGAAACATGAAAGTAAATGGATCAATTAAAATTTGAGCACACAAGTAGGGGGAGCAAGCTCATAAACTTGTATGTTGCATTTGAATATGCATTTCATATGTTTGCTTGCATGGCACAAGTTTTAAAGTCAATATACATGCTTGTGTAGTGTATGCTAGTTGTAAATTTAAATGATGAAATGAGAAACTAGCATGCATAGGATGGTTAGATATGCCTTGGTTTTGTTTATAATGTTGATCTCATGAGGTATCTAGTGTTTGTGTTTTGCAAGAAATTCCAAGTGGTATATAACTAGCAATGGTGCTAAGGATGGTATATTTGGTGCACTCCGATTGGTATCACGCTTCAAAGGTCCATCTCTTATACCTTAGCATCTTTTGGTAGATATTACTCTCCCACAACTCCAATTCATGCATATGTGCAACCTTCAATCCAAACTCTTAGCACAAATGTAGGGGAGCTAATGCTACCAATTCAGAATCATGAAACTTGTCCAAATCCTTTTACACATGGTAAATATGATTAGGCAAGTAACATGGATTCAAATGAATTTCAATTCATATCTTTGTGAAAGGATTTTCATCAATTACCAAAAAGGGGGAGATTAAAAGCTCTAGTTTGGTTTTGGTGAATTGATGAAACCCTAGGTGCTAACCCTTTTTACTCTAAAGTGATCATAAGATAGGGTAGCACATTCCAAGTGGTGGAGCAAATAGAGATGATCATGATGAGGATGATGGTGGAGTCCATGAAGATGATCAAGTGCTCAGGCTTGGAAAAGAAGAAAGAGAAAAACAAAATAGGCTCAAGGCAAAGGTGAAATCCATAGGGCCATTTTTGTTTGGTGATCAAGACACCTAGTGGGTGTGATCACATTTAGGAAAGATAGACGTACTATTAAGAGAGGTGAAACTCATCGTGAAATGCGGCTATCAAAGTGCCACTAGATGTTCTAACTCATTGCATATGTATTTAGATTCTAATGAGTGCTAACACATTTGAATAATGTTTGTGAAAAATATGCTAACACACGTGCATAAGGTGATACACTTGGTGGTTGGCACATTTGAGCAAGGGTGAAGTGTTCGCGCTTGATAAGGAGCTGAAACAGGGGTGTCGGACCCTGCTTGATTGCTTCACAGAAGCATCGAACCAGCCTCTGGTTGGGTCCGACGGCTAACCTTAACTGGGGTATTGACGTGGTGGCTTGAGAGAGCTCATGGGGGAGCGTCAGACCGCCCTGGGTCCGACGGCCAGTTCTCGAACTCGGTCCGATGGCTCTGGAACTTCTCAGTGTAGATTTGATGGTGTTGGACCCTCAGGGTTGGACTAGGGCTCGTGGAGGTGTCAGACCGACCATGCGCACTGTTCATTCAGTGCCACACGTGTGAATTTGCGTGGATGCGACACGTAGAAGCGTCGGACTCACGGCTGGGTCCGACGGTTGGCATCGGACCGGGGTCTGACCGGTTTTGTGCTCTCTGGACCTTACTAGACCGCGTCAGACCCTCCCTGTGTGGAGTCCGACGATGGGTTCTATGGCCTGGGTCCGACTATGGTAATCAGTGCGCAATCTGCTTGACCGTGACAGCAATGGTCGGCTCGTTTGACAAGGACACGTGGCAGCGCGGGAGTGGCCACGACAGGGCATCGGACCCTGTGCCGGACGGTCCGATGGCCCATGCAGCCGAGTCTAACGGTCACTTATGTGACCCAACGGTTCTATTTTGTGGGGGCTTCTATTTAAGCCCCATGGCCGGCTCTTGCTCACTCTCTTGGCCATTTCTATTGAGAATACATCCTAGTGAGCATAGCCATCTCTCTCACTCATCCTACTTGATTGATTCATCATTTGGTGACAATTGAGAGCATCTAAGTGCATTGCTTTGAGTGATTGCATCTAGAGGCACCTGGTGATCGTGTTTCACTGTAGGATTCGTTTCTTTCTCTTGGTGATTGCCGCCACCTAGATGGCTTGGTGCAGCAAAGATCGTCGAGCGGAGGGTGGTGCTTATCTTCGGCTCCAATCATGGTGATTGTAAGGGGTTCTTGACCTTTCCCCGGCGGAGAGCCAAAAGGTACTCTAGTGGATTGCTCGTGGCTTGTGTGATCCTCATCTTGTGTTGGTTGTGCGGCACCCGATTGCGGGTTAGGCGTGTGATGCCTATTAGCGCATGAACCTCCAAGCGAATGAATCACCACAACAGGGACTAGCTTGTCGGCAAGCAAGTGAACCTCGGTGAAAAATCATTGTCATCTTGTCACCGGGATTCATTGGTATTCATTGTGAATTGATTGATTGTCACTTGCCACGGTGGTATAAACATCATCCCCTCCCTTGTATTTACATTTCTAGTGTAGCTAAGCTCTTTAGTGTAATTAGTTTTGAGAGCTAGCTTGTGTCTTGTCTAGTGGTTAGCGAGGCTCTTTAGTTAGTCTTTGAGAGCTCACTAACTTAGTAGTAGTGACATAGTCACTTGTGTGAATTAGAGATCATAGCAACTAGAATTATAGATAGGAGGCTTGTATTTTTAGTAGGTTAACGCAACACTCGCTTCGCCGTTTAATTATCTAACTATTTGGCTTAATTGTTGTTGTAGAATTTTTAAATAGGCTATTCACCCCCCCTCTAGCCATTAGGACCTTTCACCTTGCCCGCCTCTTCCACACCGCTTCGCACCCACCACTTCCATGCCGCTCGGATGACTCCCCGCGTCTTCCACACCGGCGATGTGTGGCTTGCGCCTCTTCCCCACATCGATGCCGCCATGACTCCCGCGCTAGCTCTCTCTTCCTCGCTCAACAACCCTACATCTATATCTACTTTTGCAACACTCAAATGAAATAATTGCAACATATGTTTAAAACAGATGAAACATTTGAAATATAAATTTGCAACATAGTCATCCATAGAGGCAGTAGGACTTGACTTTTGAACTTTCTAACTGAAAATTGACGAATACTCCTTAGTTTAGCGTTTCCCACTAGGCTATGAACTAACTCGCCTAATTAGTCCTAAGTATAAAAGCCATTTTGGTTGAATAACTAGGTAATTTTGTTGTTTTCATACATTCGTCAATTCGTAAATCAGTAGTTACAATAGGTGGTTCCATCCTACATAAGATAGCTGTGGTTTCCTACTGTCCATTTGGCAAGAAGTAAGTACATAGTGATTTCCGCCCTTTTCAAAGTCTATTTTCCTCCCCGGTAACCGTAGTAGCTTGAGTCCTGACAAGTGAAATTCCCAATTCACACATAGAGGTGAGTGGCCATCGATCGAACATTATTCGCAATATCAGGGAATCGTGACTCTCCTCCTCGCTTTGAAATGAAATGGTGAGGAGAAGAAGGTTCCTTTGGGTATCCTCGGGAAGAGATCCGGTGGAGACGAGGCGTTGGTAGCTTAGAGGATTAGAGCGCGTGGCTTACGAACCACGGTGTCTGGGGTTCAATTCCCTCCTACGCCTGACCTTCCAAAGGGGAAGGACCTTTACTTTTTCCCACGGTGTCGGGGTTCGAATCCTCCTCACCCACCTGACCTTCCAAAGGGAAGGACCTTTACTTCCTCCCGAGGGTAGAAAAATCATGACGGAATAGCGAACGTAAAGCTATAGAACTTGGGTATGCTCTTTTCTTTTGCCGTTGCAACATATGTAACATCTAGATAAAACACTTGCAACATGTGTCTGAAACAGATAAAACATTTTGAACAAACTCTTGCAATATACGTGTATGACCATTGCAACATATGCAACATCTGAAAACTACCATTGCAATATCCATGTAAAACATCTAAAATATACATCTGAAATATCTGAAACACTTCAAACATGCGTTTTGCAACATAGGAAAAGCTGGGGCCGGTCGATTAGGAGTCGATGGCGAGTGGCGGCGCGCGAGCACCACCATCATTAGCACCACTAGCATCAGCTTTGGTTCAGCCCGGCAGGCGGCACGCGTGACATGTGGGAGCAGGCTGCTGCACGTGCGATGGGAGGAAGGGAGCGAGGCGGCAACAGCGAGCGTGGAGTGGGGCGGGGGCACGCGGTGCGCGACGCGGGTTTAGGCGTGCGGCATGCACGCACAAGTGAGCGGCACGGGTGGGTCGGTCCGTCCGGATGTATCATTATCGTATATGTTATTTAGTACCTAATATACCGAATTATGGAATATTTTTTATTATACCGAATGTTCACAAATCACATGTGTTGCACATACAGACTTGCAGTATCAAGAATCAACGAGCAAGCTGTGCCGAACTCGGCTCGATTTGCTGTCATTCGTAAGGCCGTGTTAGGCCTTGTATAGAAAAGGCCTGTTGGGCCTGGAACACCACAGGTTTACTTCTGGGCCGGATCGAAAGTAGCACCGGTGGGCCCGAAACGTGACTCCTATCCCCTAGTCAAATCCATCCTGTCCGTCCGTTTCCCCGCGCCCGAATCCTAAAGCGCAGCACATCAGTCCAGAAGCCGCAGCCCGCAGGTAAGGTCGACAGAGAGCTCGACCTCTCGCCGACGGCGACATCCGGCGGCGGGGGCGGAGGACAGGATGGTGGCCGAGGGCAAGAGGTGGCGGTTCGCGATGGTGTGCTCTTCGAACATGAACCGGAGCATGGAGGCGCACTCGCAGCTGGGCCGCGCGGGGCTCGACGTCGAGTCCTATGGCACGGGCACCCACGTCAAGCTCCCCGGCCCCTCCCTCCACGAGCCCAACGTCTACGACTTCGGCACCCCCCTATGGGGCCATCTACGACGACCTCCGCCGCAAGGACCCCGACCTGTCAGTACAAGCACTTACTGTCATCTTTCCTCTCCTCGCCTGACCTTGGGGAGAAAATGTAGTGTTTAGGGTTCTGGATGGGGTTTCTGCGATATTCAGTGCGCATTTGATCGAAACAGATAGCAACCATTCTAAATCTTTTGAAATTTCGGTGTCCCTGTTTGCAATGTCTCTTTGTGGGTGCCGAACTGGGTCTGCTGGGGTGTTTGTGGCATTGCTTTCCCGTTTCTTTGTGGGTGCTCAATTTGCCTTGCCGGGCACCCTGCACGATAGCTTGAAAGTCGAAACGCTCTGCTCTCATTGGATTTCTGTGGCGAACCATCCAGGTACAAGAGGAATGGGTTGCTGCCTATGCTGAAGAGGAATACCTCGGTGAAGCTAGCGCCTCAGCGGTGGCAGGACAACGCCGGCGACGGGGTGTTTGATATGATAATGACCTTTGAGGAGAGGGTCTTCGACTTGGTTGTTGAAGGTAATTCATTCACCTCTGAACTGGAGCTGATTTTGGTCTAGGAGATTTATAAAGCCATTATAATTGAACAATGTTGTTAGGATGCATAGTTGTAGACATTCAGCCTGATCAGCTGAGCTTGCTGCTGTAGTGCTGCAGTCTGCAGCTGCAAAGCTTCAGCTAACCAGGACCAACAGCAGAGAGGAACCATAAGCGGCACAGCAGCAGCCCACTGGAATTAATACTTTCTGATCAGGGCCATTAACTACTGGAAGCTAACATTTGTTTTTGTGTCCAGATATGAGTAACCGCGAGCCGAGGCTGATGAAGTGTGTGCTGATAATAAATATGGATGTCAAAGATAACCATGAAGAAGCTGGTGTTGGGGCAAAGCTTGCTGTAGAGTTGTGCCAGAAGGTAAAAGTAACATACCATATGTAGTGCATAAGCTTTACTGAGTATTAAGTTGTTAGGCTTTGTTGTTAATGATGCTAATGGTAAGTAATCAGTAGGCTGAGGACCATGCGTGCCCTTAGGTTGGCAGCAAAATTAATTGTTAGTTCAAGACTTCAAGTAAATAAAACTGAATGATAAATAAAGATCAAAATACATGCTACCTGGATGAATCAAATACCAAAGAGAAGCAAAACATCCTTCACACTCCTAATAATCTGCTTTGAGGGTTGCTTTTGTTATCCACTAGTCTCACTGCATGCTCACTGCTAGCGGTGGTGAGAGGTAACTAATGGAGAAAGGAGAAAGGGAAACAAAGAGAGGCTGGCAAGATTTGGCAGTGGAATGGGGAGGCTGCTGGGGTGCTCCAGTTTTGACTATCATGATCATGTACCACAGTAGTACTAAAAGTAACTTTGTTAACCAACTCTTGCGTTTATTTCTGGCTGTCATTGCTTGGTTATACCAAATTATTTTCAAATGGGTTTCTCACATAATTCAATTGTTCTGATTGGTGAATACAGTCATGTTTAACTGGTGCTCTGTTCCTTGGTATCTGTGGATTAATAAGCTCAAATTCGTGAATTCCCTTATTTTGGGTACCTGCTTTGATGTTGATATCATTGGCAGTTTTCATAGACCATCCCCTCCCTCCCCCCAATAAAAAAAATCAGTGTTTCAGAAATAAAGGCTCATAGCTTGCTTCATTGTAATTTTAGATGGTCAATCGATGTATGAAATCAGTACCCTGAATGTATGAACATTGCATCTTTCATAACTTATTTGGCAAAACAATGTTTATTTGAGGTATTTCTTTTGTTTCCACATGCATCATTACAGAAGGCTTGTTTGCCTTGTTGTCTTTGTATTATATTATATGGTATCTAATACAACATACATTTGTATATCACAATGATGTCAAAATGCTTCATGATGGTATTGTGCTGTGAATGGAATGCAACATTAACCTTTGCACTGTTGCAACACAATATTGCAGTGGTGGATTTAATGTGTATACTACTATTTTTCCATTAACCTCATATTCGGAATTTTCTGCCACAATTTTGTGTCCTTTGTCGATGGCAAAGATTCAATTTTCCAATGTTATTGCTTACAAATGTGAATCTACTAATGAAACTACACATGCTTTTGGTGACCAATGAGGAGTCAACTTATATATGTTATTCCATTCCAGCTTGAAGCAATTGATGGTGACTGGGAGGACATAATTGATGACCTGATTACTGCATTTGAGAAGCAGCACAAGCGGAGGCTTGCATACAGCATTTCATTCTACTAACTTGTATAGTCCCCTGTGGGGACAGAGGTGGCAATGGATGGTTGGTAACTTGGCATTGTAGTAAGCAACTGCACAGGAGTGAAGCATCAATGTTGTGTCAGTGTTGCTTAAATTCTTCCACGCTGACATTTGCAAAAACGGCAGATTTGTGGAGCTTAACCTAAGAAGAAATAACTTGCTCGTGCTAGCTGTTTTTTATTGCTTCACTGATGCTGGACAGTAAAGATGGCGATGTTGCATCAATGCCATCATCTCAAGCCCATGCCACGTACAAGATGTATATTGTTCAGTTTTGAGTTATGAATCTATGCGAGTGGATATGTGGGTGCTGTTTGTTGTTGTTCCTAGGTATAAAAATCAGAAAGCCATCAATGCAAACTGCGAGTACATGCATTTTTCGCTTCTTGACTGACTAAAAATCATCTGAAATGCATTCATCTTTTTTTCTGGCCATGTTCAGCAACTTTATGGGTTATCGACATTGAAGTCGACAGGTTTTCGTGTCATTTTGCTGGCTGGTTTCTTTCGTGTCCCAAACTTCAGTGTACAGATGGCCTCTAAAGTGTAGAGAATTAAATAGAAAAGTATAGTGTTGTTCCTGAACTCCATTCCGTAGCACGTTACCGTCACTTGCGAGATTCCCATGTAGGGATGTTAGGGTCTTTTTGCTTGGGCATCGGTCTCCGTGATAACTTCTACAACGTCCTCTAATTTGAGGTAGAGGGAGTAGCCGCTAAAGTTAGTCGATTTGAACATATCCAACCAATAAACTAGCTTGGGCATTTGAATCATCCAACTCCCTTGTAGAAGTGACTTCGACATGATGTGTTCCGACCCTGCGAGGCAGCCTACGGGCTCTGACTACCGTGGCCTCCTAGGAGGTTGTCGCGGCTGGCTGGGAGGTGCCGGTGGACGGCAGGGAGGAGGGCCACTCTTGGAGATGCTCTTAGTTGAGCACCCAATTAAGGGTCTAGTTGAATAGTGCCAGCTAATAGCTAATTATCAGTTACGAGTCCAAACACCCCCTCAGAGTATGTTATTTACATTACTTGCTAAAATTAGTTGGGTGAATTCAAATGGATCCAGCTAATGTACTACCTAAATGTTAGCTAGGCTCCTAGCTATCAGACTATTCGGATCCTACCGACTAATAGTTAGCTAGATCCAAACATGTCTAACTAATAAGCCAGCTCGTTATTAGTTGGACACCTATCTAATAGTTAGTTTGGATCCTGCCAGCTAATAGTTAGCTAGATCAAACATGTCTAGCTAGCTATTAGCTGGACACCCAACAAACGATTAGTATAATATATTACATAAATGTTGGAGCTAACGGACTATTTGGTTCGTGCCAGCTAATAATTGTTAGCTAGATCCAAACATGTCTAGCTAATAAGCCATCTTGCTATTAGTTGGGCACCTATCTAACAGTTAGTTTGGATACTGTTAGCTAGTAGTTAGCTAGATCCAAACATGTCTAGCTAATAGGCTAGCTAGCTATTAGTTAGACACCCAACAAATAACTATTTTACTAGTATTAGCTAATAGCAGCTAATTGCTAGTCGATTGAATGAAATGCCTCTTCCACCACTAAGAGCGTGTTTGGTTTGGGTAGCGGCACCTCATCACTTTATTTGTTGTTTGGTTCGATCGCCCTATATCCGGTTGTCGTGGTATACAATACGGGTCTTTAGAATCATGACCCCGCTCATCTCCTGGAGTTAATGATTACGCTGCCTACGACTCGCTCCAGGACAAAAGCTGGCTTCCCAACCAAACAAAAGTTGCTAGCTATAGCAGTGTAACAGGCAGTAGTGTGAACCGATTATCTTTGTCCTGTTCGCTTGGCTTATAAGCCATACTTTTTCAGCCAACGAATATTATTTTTCTCTCATAATAAATCAGCCAACAGTACTTTCAATCATGGCTTATCAGCCAAGCGAACAGGACAATTACCGTTGCCATCCCAAAAATTAAACCAAACAACACCTAATTGTTAGGCAGGAAAAAGTAAAGAAAAGGGTATTTTTGGTAAAACAACACTTTACCCACCTATTAGTGGGTGGGATCAAACACCTCACAACTAATACTAGTTAGTTAGCTAATAGCAAGGAGCTATTAGCCAACTAATTATGAGTTGCTAATGAATCCAAACACTCCTTTAAATATATTATTAAAAAATACAGTCAAAAGCTCAACAATTGCTGAGGCCCTCTTTCTTTATTATGGACTATCTGGATTTGTTGGTATTATGGTATATAATCCTTGTATTTGCTGATGCCTACTTAGCACTTTAGTATATGTTTGATTACTATGCATATTTGAGGGATGTGATTGTGGGTGTTGCTAGGTTTCATGCCCTGATTCAAGTAGCCTGAATTAATGTTGCATTGTCATTAAGGATTTTGTGGACATCTGAAAGCTCTAATTTGGTTTTGGTAAATTGATGAAACCCTAAGTGCTAACCTAGTTCATCAAGTGATCATGAGATAGGTAGCACACTTCAAGTAGAGAAGCAAATGAAGATCATAACGTTACAATGGTGATAGCATGGAGATGATCAAGGGCTTAAACTTGAAGAGAAGAAAGAGAAAAACAAAAAGCTCAAGGCAAAGGTATAACTTGTAGGAGCTATTTTATTTTGGTGATCAAGACACTTAAAGAGTGTGATCACATTTAGGTTTGATAGCCGTACTATTAAGAGGGGTGAAACTCGTATCGGAATGCGGTTATTAAAGTGCCACTAGATGCTCTAACTCATTGCATATGCATTTAGGATCTAATGGAGTGCTAACACTCTTGAAAATATTTGTGAAAATATGCTAACACATGTGCACAAGGTGTTTGTAGGGTTGAGATAGGTTTGGGGAAATGAAATGTCTAACTCATTGCATATGCATTTAGGATCTAATGGAGTGCTAACACTCTTGAAAATATTTGTGAAAATATGCTAACACATGTGCACAAGGTGTTTATAGGGTTGAGATAGGTTCGGGAAAATGAAATGTCTATTTTCTATTGCGCCGGATGCAAAATTCTTGGTGGTTGGCACACTTGAGCAAGGGTGAAGAAGTAAGAGTTGAAATGGAGTTGATCAAAATGATCTTTGGCGTCGGTCCGGTCCGGGACGCGAATCAATCCGGATCTTTATGCACTGTCGTCCGTCGTCTTGACTTCAGGCGATCTGATGGCTAGGGGTTGAGCATGAGGACGGATTTGTTGCGTCCGGTCAAGGTGGACCGGACGCCCCGGTCGAAAAAATCATGCCTCGGGAGCTTCTCTGAAACGGCCGGACGGACTGGGCTTCAGCGTCCGGTCGATTTCGGAAGCGTCCGGTCAACTCAGCGACCGTTGAGATATGATGAAACAGCATTTGAAGCAGGGGGACACGTGGCGTGAATCACGCGTGACCGGAGGGCTGAGGGCCGACATCCGGTCGATCGACCGGAGCGTCCGGTCACCCGCGTTGTGCCCAGTGAAGAAGGGTATAACGGCTCTATTTTATTGGGGCTCTATTTATAGCCCCATGGCGGCTCAAAGGAGCTCTCTTGCACATTTTCATTGACATAGCAACCTTGTGAGCCTAGCCAAAGTTCTCCCACTCATTTCCATCATAGATTAAACATCTTTGTGAGATTGGGAGAGAATCCAAGTGCATTGCTTGAGTGATTACATCTAGAGGCACTTGGTGATTGTGTTTCACCTCATGATTTCGCTTGTTACTCTTGGTGGTTGCCGCCACCTAGATGGCTTGGAGCAGCAAGGATCGTTGAGTGGAGGAGGTGATTGTCTCCGACTCGATCGTGGTGATTGTGAGGGTTCTTGACCTTTCGGCCGGAGCGCCAAAAGGTACTCTAGTAAATTGCTTGTGGCTTGTGTGATCCTCATCTTGTGTTGGTTGTGCGGCACCCTATTGAGGGTTTGGCGAGTGATGCCAATCGGTAGCGTGAACCTCCAAGTGAGTGAATCGCCTAACGAGGACTAGCTTCTTAGGCAAGCAAGTGAACCTCGGTAAAAATCATTGTGTTCATCATTGATTCCGAGGTGATTGGTCATCATTGTTATTCATCTTCGTGATTGATTGGTTCATTCATCTACACGGCGGTATAACCCTCTTGATCACTCTCTTTACTTTACCGTAAACTAGTTGACAAGCTCTTTAGTGTAGCTAGTTGTGAGAGCTTGCATGCTTGGTTGGTGTGGCTCTTTAGTTAGCCTTTGAGAGCACACTAACATAGGGTAGTGTCATTGCTCTTGTGTGAATTGACACTATCTAAACTAGAATTGTGGTAGGTGGCTTGCATTTTTGAGTAGGCTAGCGCAACACTCGCTTCGCCTCATAAATTGTCTAACCATTTGGTTAAGTGTTGTTGTAGAAATTTTTATTAGGCTATTCACCCCCTCTAGCCATTAGGACCTTTCAACATCTCATATGTCTCCATCTTCAACCATTAAACTCGATCGGCTTACAAGTTAAGGGTGTGTTTGATAAGGATCTAGATTTTCACAGAAACATTTTGGATCCAGATTCTCTCTAAGAAACGTTTCTAGTAATAAATCCGAATCACTTCGTGAAACCGTTTGGCTAGTAGGCTGGATGCCAATATATTTTTCATAAAAAATCATAAAAATAAAAATATTCTTTAAAAAATTCAAAAACTTTTTTGTGGGGTAGAAGAACAACTTAAATACAACCTATTTTAACTTATTTCACTTAAAAAGTAATTAACTAAAAAATTATGGTTGCTAATAGGGGCAAGAATCAGAATAATGCAAAATCAACTATCTGGCATCTCTCCTTGCCAGGCATTAAAACAAGAAATGTTTCTAGTGATTCTTGAGTGAAGTGTTTCTCAGCTGGCCCGTTTGACAATAGAAGAATCAAAGACGTTTCTAGTTGTCAAATGGTGCCTTAGTTCATGCATGTAATTTAGGACGTGTTTGACAATTTTTTCACTACACCTTATACAAGGTTTGGTAAAGGAATGTGTCTATGACAT